CTGGTTCTGCTCAATTCACTTTGCATCAGTTCATATACGTCTTCCTAGGTTTTTCTGAAACAATCACCTTTATCCTTTCTTACAGCACAATAGTGTTCTATCACATTCATATATCACAACTTGCTCAGCCATTCCCCAATTGATGGGTATCCCCTCAGTTTCCAATTCTTTGCCACCACAAAAAGAGCTGCTATAAACATTTTTGTACAAGTGGGTTCTTTTCCTTTTCCTTTGATCTCTTTGGGGTGCTTAGTTAGTGGCATTACTGGATCATTGGATATGTACAGTAAGCATAGTTCCAAATTGTTCTCCATGTAGAACACATCTGTCCTAGGCAATGGAGATCATAGAACTGGAAGAGGAATGGTACCTTCTGCAGGTGTCACATTGTTTAATTACTCAAGAGAGTGAATGTAAAAGAATTCAGAGAAAGAAGGGGAAAATGCCAAGACCTAAGATTCTACAGGAGAAGTTGGCTAAAGACTGAGATTCTGACAACACAAACAAATGTTTCTAATGAAGCAAGAAAGGTCTAAATGCCTGAAGAGATTAACATAATAATTGTTAACATTTATGTAGCTTAGTATGTGCTAAGCGTTCTATAATTATTGTTTCATTTGGCTCCTCCTTGGATCCTCACAACAACTCTAGGAAGCAGGCGCTATCATTATCCTCATTTTACAGTTAAGGAGACTGAGGCAAAGAAGTAAGTGACATGCCCAGGGTCAAACAGCTAGTAAGTATCTGAGACCAGGGTTTGAACTCAGGTCTTCCTGATTCCAGGCCCAATGTTCTATCTGCTGTACCACCGAACTGCCACCAACATGACTACAGACAATTCTCATTTTATGTAAGCTGACCACTCCATAGACTTTTATGTAAAGTGATTTTTATGTAATGCGAATTTGTCTCCACCCACCCCACTTCACTTAGCCTATATGACAAAGGCATACATACAAAATAATACCTTTACACAAGTCATACAATATACTAAAATGCAGACATATTAAATACTGTGCTATGATACTAAACAGAATTATGAAATGATAAAGTTACTGATAATGTATGCCTGGTACTGTACAGTAAAGTTAACAGAGGTATGTGATATGTTACCCATTCCCTACCCACTGTACCTAGTCTTTATCACTGGGGCTGGCTGTGTGATTTTTTTTTTTAATTTTAAGAGATGTTTGGACAGCAGCTCTCTTTCCCCCCATATATTTGACAACAGCAACTAGTCCGTAACTTAAAATCTCAAAGTATTTGGATCTATCTTTTCTTTCAGAATTCTTTACATAAAGTCAAGTTTACATAATGTGAATTTATATAGAGTGAGAACTGTCTATATAGAAAACTCATCTCAACATAGATTTTTTTTTAAAAGAGCTGTATTGAAGGGGAAAATGAGGGTGGGTAACTAAGTACCACAACTCAGGGTAGATGGGGCCATAATCACTGATGATGAATTGATAGCAGAGAGCTTTTTAATTCCTACTTTGCTTCTTTTTTCTCTATTAAGAGGAATCAGCTTAGGCTTAGAAGTATTGAATAACAATGGTTAACAGAAAATTTAAGCAAAGAAAGGAGTGGGTAAGAGACCTAAGCTGTTATTTATAAGTTCAACTCATCAGACCCAGATAAGTAGCTCATTATAGGTAACTGAAAAAGTTTGCAGATATCTCTACTGAGTTGCTGATGATAATCTATGATTTTTGAAAGGGAGAAGTTGAATTCTTTAAATTCCAGTCTGGTAAGCCCAACATCAATTTCTGGCAAATCCAAGAGTATGTTATGAAAAGATGGTCTCTAAACACTTAGAAGGGGAAGTGGTGATTACTAAAAGTCAACTTGAGTTCATCAAAATGAGAAGAGGCAGTACGATAGAACAAATAATTAGTCCTGAGGTCAGAATAGGGGTTCAAATCTTGTCTTTGCTTCTTATTTCTACATGATTATGGATAAATTATTTAACCTCTCAGTATCAGTTTGCCCATATGTTAATTTCTGAAGTCCCTCCTAGTTTTAAATTCTATAATATAAAATCATATCAGACTAATCTTATTCCCCCTACCCTTTTTGGGTCAGTGTTTCTAGATTGATAGAGCGACCGAAACAGAGTCTGGCTGGATTTCAACAAAATATCTGCTAACCTACCCCCTGACATCCTTATGGATAAGCTGGAGAGATATTGGTTGTTAGGTGAATTCAAAACCCAGCTGAATCTCTAGATCCAAAGAATGTTGATTAATGGATCAGTGTCTGAAGAGATATTTGTAGTGTAGAGTCATGGCCTTGTTCTTTTCAACATTTTAATAAAGTTTGGATGAAGGCATAGCTGGCGAACTTATCAAATTTGCAGATGACATGAGGCTCAGAGGGATAGCTAATATGTCTGATGACAAAAATTAGGATCCAAATAGATTGTGACAGTCTAAAACAATGGGATGAATAGAATGTGATGAAATTTAAAAGGAATAAATGTAAGGTCCTACACTTGGGTTTGAAAATCATCTGTATGATCCAACAAGCATTTATTAAGTACCCATTATGACACGTGCAAGGAACTGTACTGGTCTCCAGGAATACAAAGCCAAAACACAAAACAGAGTCTGCCCTCAAGGAGCTTATATTTTATAAAGGGAATACAACATACAAATAGACAAGTACACAAATGATCATTTTGAAGAGAGAGGAAACACTAACAACTAGAGGAAAGGCTTCTCTCAAAATGAGTCATGAAGTTAGCTGGAGATTCTAAGAGGTGGAGGTGACGAGGGTGTCCGTTCCTGGCATGGGGGACAGAGGCAGGAGATGGAATGCCAGGTCTAGGGACTGGCAAGTTGAATAGTTTGGCTAGAACATAGTACATGTGAAGTGGAGTCATGTGTGGGAAACCTAGAAAGGTAGGCTGAAGGCCAACTGGGAAGGGCTTAAATGCCAAGCTGAGGAGGCTGTGTCTTAACCCAGAGGCAACAAGGAACCACAAAAGGGTCTTTAGCAGGAGAATGACACAGTCAGACTTGTGCTTTAGGAACATGGTTGTTTAAGCTCTGTGGAAAATAGATTACAGAGGGTAAGAACTGGAAGATGGGGATCCCATTAGGTGGTGGTTGGAATAATCCAGATGAAAGGTGGTAAGGGTCTGTACCAGGGAGTGGGTATGTGGGTGGAGAAAAGACAATGTCTGCAATATATGCTGTGGAGTTAGACTGAACAATATGTGGTCATAACGTTGACAGAAGAGAGAAAGAGACAGAAGAGAAATAGAGACAGAGATGGAGAGAGAGAGAGAAAGAGAGAAATAGAGACAGATGGAGAGAAAGAGACAGAAGAGAAATAGAGACAGAGAAACGGAGAGAGAAGAGAAATGGAGAGAGAAAGAAAGAGACATAGAGAGAAATAGATTCAGAGAGATGGAGAGACAGAGAGAAATAGAGACAGAAATGGGGAGACAGAGACAGAGAGATGGAGAAAGAAATTTTGAGGACCACTCACAAGTATAGGCTAGGAGTGTCTTGGCTGGAAAAGTTTGCAAGCAAAAGACTTGGGTATTTTAGTGAAATTCAAACTCAGCATGAGTCAGTAGAATAAGGTAACCTCCAGAACAGCCAATGCCATCATGGATTCCCTTAACAGAAACACAATTCCTAGCCTGAGGGAGGTGACAGTCACATTCTGCTCAGAGCTGGTTAAATTACATGGGGACTATTGTTTATCTCTGGGTACCCCATTTTAGGAAGGACACAAGCAAACTAGAACAAACCAACAAGCACTTAAGGGAAGGTAATATTGTTTCCATCTTGCAGATTTGAAAACTGAGGACCAGAGTGGTTAAGTTCACACAACTAGGTAGTGTTAGAACTGTAAGTTAAACTAGGTTTTCCATGTTTTAGGTACAGCCCACCTACACCACACTGTCTTCATGCTTCTGTGATCCAAGTAGATAGCTGGGCATTGTCATTGGAGCTAGTGGAGACATCAGGACTAGAGATATAGATGAAGTGAAGTTGAGGAGATAGTTGAAGGTGTGGTAGTAGATTAGCTCCTTGAGGGAGATGATAGACAAGAAAATGCTCCCTGGAGAGGTGTAGAATTCTTGAGAGAATAAACATGCTGGACCTGGCTTTGAATGGAGGAATGGGGCAAGTCTAAGACATGTCCTGTCTCTTCCACTAATTCACTGTGCAACCTAAGGCAAGCGTCCTCACTTCTCTGGACCACAATTTTCTCATATGAAAACGAGGCAGTGGACTATGTGACCTTTCTAGCTGTTTCTAGATTCAGAAATGCCTCTAGGACCTTCCATAGATCACAGAGGTTCTGGGTCTCTGGGCTCAGGCACTTGGGGTCATGTATTGATTTCTGTATTGACAATAGAACAACAAGGAGAAGGTATTCATTGAGGGCCTGCCAAGTTTCAGGTGCAATGTTAGACTCTGAGGCTGTAAAAGCAGAAAAAGAACAGTTAATGTTCTCAAGAGATTACTATTCAGGGAGAGCCACTTTACACGAAGTCTATACAGTTACACGTGGCTATCAGTTACAAAGTAATTGGGTGGGTGGGGAATCCCAGTAACTGGGATAGGGGGTAGTGGTAGGGAGGGGAGTCAAGGAAGGCCTCTTACAGCATGTGGTGTCTGATATGTGCTTTGAAGGAAGCCAGCAAGGAGTCCGGTTTGGTTGCATGCCCAAAGGGAAGTACCATGAGATCAGTCTGGAGAGAGAGTTTGGAGCCTGGGCTCTTAGAAGCATGACCTGTTATTTGGGAAGCCTTGATGCCATTATTCTCTGGAGTGAGGGGACCTGGGTTCAAATCTTGGCTCTGTAACTTCAAGTTGTGTGGTTATGAGCAACTTTCCACCTCTGGGCCTTGGTTTCCTCTTCTGTAAAACAAGAGGTTGGACTAGTTGATCTTTAGGGGCCCTCCCAGTTCTAGATATTATAAATCTGAGTGATTCCCTCCATCTCTTTCAATCACATGTTCCTCTCTCCTTCCTCAGTGTATGAGGTGATCACGATGACTGGTGATGTCCGGGGTGCAGGAACCAATGCCAACGTCTTCATCACCATTTTTGGGGAGCATGGGCTATCTCCTAAGCTCCATCTCTCTAGCAAGTGAGTATCCCAGAAAAGCCTCCAGGAGGCCAGAGCTCTTGCCAAGTTGCAGTAGTTGGGGCTGTCCTAGTAATGTCTGCGAAGAAGACAGTCTGGGGAACACTAACATTTAAAGTGACCGAAGGACTTTTCTGAATGAAGAATTATGTGCTGGAGCTATTCTGCTCCTCCTGTGGCATCCTCTCCCTCCCTCACAGCTTCCCCACTTGGTTTCCCTACACTGTCAGGTGCCCAAATTCTGGCCTTGCTCATTTGGAATGTCCAGTCATCCTGACAGCAGCTGGGCTGAGGCTTATATTCCGTTTTTTTTAGGAAGTGGGTTGCCAGCTCAATTACTAACAGATACAAATATCAGAGCAGAGGACATTTATAACCTGTCAGAGGCTATAAACTGCTTTCATACTGGCAGCACCACTTCAAAACAAAACTGTACTAATTTCAAATAAGTTTTCTATATCCTTTGGAGCAGTACTGTTTCTTGTGAGCCATTAGTCTGGGTTCTTTTATGTAATTGAAATGAATTGTGTGAAACATTTTTACACATTAAAATCACTATTCCTTAACTCAAACCAGTTTTTTCTGAAGCTCATTTTTGGTTTGAAAGAAAGATCACTAGACAAGGAGTTAGGAGACCTCAGCTCTACTTCTGGTTTGAAACGAGCTACTTTGACACTAACTACCTTGGGGAGGTCCCTTTTCTCCTCCAGCCTCAGTTTCTTCTTCCCTGACATGGGGGCAGGGAATCCCTATCTGTCTACTTCCCGGGGTCTGTGTGAGGAGTGATGTTCCTATTTGTTTGTGAAAACAGTTTGCATAACCAGTAAGTGATGAAAAAGTTTTTGTAGAAAAGAAGGGAAGAGAGATCTTTTAAAATCTGGCTATCAGAACAGTGCAGTCAACAGCATGGGGAAGCCATTCACCTCAAGGAGGTGAATCAGTATTCTAAATGAGGGAGATCATCCCCCCCTCCACACACACACAGAGACAGAGAGAGAGAGAGAGCACAAAGACTTTGTTAAAACTGGAAGAGACTTTAGGGATCATTTAATGTAGTGTGTCACAAACTTGTTTGGGCTCAGGATCCCTTTGTACTCTTAAAAATTATTGATTCCTCCCCCCAAAAGAACTTTTTGTTTCTGTGGGTTCTATCAATATTTACTATATTGGAAATGAAAATGTTTTAGTATTATTATGAAAATGATTTTGACCTCACAGCTGCCTGTAGGGTTTCATGGACATTCCAAAGTAGCCACATTTTCAAAACCACTTATCTAGTCCAACCCCTTCATTTTACAGGTGAGGAAATCAAGGCATTGAGGCCTAGACAAGGGAAATGCCTTGCTCATGTTAATAAAGAATTAATGGCAAAACCAGGACTAGGACCCAAGACCTAATCCAATGTGATTTCCATTTTACTTCACTGGTATGAAGAGCTTTCAGAGAGGCTAAAAGGATATCACCTTGGAGTTACTCTAAGATTCTGGGCAAATGACTGTAAGTCTTGTTTTTAGATTACACTGTATAGTCAGTAAATGTAGGGTAGCTGAGAAGGGGTGAATACAAGGGCTGAGATTTCCTTTGAGCAAGCGCCATCAGTCTTATAGAAAATGCCTGTCACTTTCTAGAGGACCCTGTCTGTGAGCCATGTGGGGGCTTTGGTTGTGGCATGAGATTTGGGAATATAAATGTAACTTCCTGTTTTGGTTGATTCCTGCAGAATAGGGTATCATCTTCATATAAACCTTACACTTCAAAGAGTGACTTGCTCATAGAAGGCTGTCATCCAAATGAAATGGGCGTGGTAACAAGACTACATGAAATATCCATCTCCTTTGCCATATGGAATAGCTGTAGTACTCTGCTATGGGGAGAGTCTGAAACTGGGAAGAAGTGGGCAAAGAGCATGTCTAGCACCCCCCCCTCTTTTCTAAGCATTCAAGGCTCTTCAGCTCTTTTCCCTCTTCCCATTAAACTTTCAGAAAAGGCTCTGATACTGCCCTCCCCCAATTAATATGAATGTAAATCCCTTTAAGCCTTATTTCTCATTGGGGGTATAAAAGTCTTTGTTCTCTGGTAAAGGAATCTGAGCCTTCAGTGAATGGGGGGCAATTTTTTTTTTTATTGAGAGTGCCTTCATGGCTTTCCGGAAATAATTCTTGGACAGTCATTGAGTCCACCTATTTCCAAGGCCATCACTGCTACCAGTAACTAAACAGCTGTCTGAATGGACAGGGTAGGATAGGATAGATTCTTATAGTTTGTTTGTTTTTTAATAATACAAGCACCAGCAAGCATGGTGGGCCAGGAGAGGCCAGGATCAAGAATCCAATGAGTCCAGATGGTCTGGCAGGAATCTCCTGTCAGGCAGGCAGTGGATCAAGTCTAGGAGGGGCAGACAAAGCTGGAGAAACTAGTTGGATATTGTAGCTTAGGAAGGTAACAGGTCAAATCCAAGTAGACAGGCGTGAAAGGATTGAGTAAATACTGTAGGCTGGGTAGATAATAGGTCAAATCCAGAGTTAGCTAGGTTAGAAAGGATAACTGGTCTGAAAGTTCTAGGCAGGTGAGGTCCAGATTCCAGGACAGCAGCAGCCACAAAGATGCTTGCTGATCCTAAAGAAGAGACCATTCTCTTTCCTCTATCACACTCTCTGCTGGGGCTTACAGGCGTATGTCTGCAGCCAGAGGAAGAGTCAGGACCCCCATTTGTAGCTCACTCTGGATTAAGGAGGTGTAGAGGTGCTTGGTCTCTTGGGAGGAGTTTATAAATTCAGTTTTTGAAACAACCTACTTAGGTAATTTCCTTCTCTCCTGAAGGTTAATGGCTCCAAGCACTTTTTGGTTGACTATTCCTGTGCTAGGAGCTGTGGGGGATATCAAAGTAGAAGATGCAATTTCTACCCTAGGAGAGCTTGCACTTTAGCTGGGGAGAGAAGACATCTGCACATGTAACAAATGAAGAATTCCAAAGCAACATATGGACCAATGCATGATAGATTTTCCAATTGTTAGTATGTGGTGCATTTTTACCAAGTTGCTAAACATTTATTACTAAAAGTCTAGACTCCTTAGAACCTATAAACTTAAAACAAATTGGATTTATTTTCCTCATGTCTTGTTCCTCCCACCCACAATTCCTAGTCCCTTCCTCCTCTGAGAGTCTGAGGCAGTGAACAGGTCAGTCTGGAGGGAAGGAATTGAGTTACTTTATCAGAATGTGGTAAAATTTGGGTTGGGAAACACTGCCATGAGCTATATAAATACTGAGGGAGTACAATAATGAAATCAGGATGGAGTGGGATTAGTCAGAGAAGACTTCCTGGAAGAGGAATTTTTTAACTGGGCTTTGCAGAATTGGAAAGATTTGGGATAAGCAGAGAGAAGGTGTATGGGGGTGGGGCAGGGAGTGGGGAGGACATTCCAAAAAGGAGTGGAGGGTGAGGCATGAACATTAGTTGAAGGCACAGCGATAAAAATAAGCAGTCTTTTGGGTACAGTGAAATCCTATGGCCTGGCTGCCCTTTGATGAAGGCAGGATTGGAGTTTCAGAGATAATGAATCACCAGCATAGTAAGTCTGCGTTTAGCACCTAATAGATATGAGATGATATGCTTGGTGTTGTCCCAATCAACCAGTCCAAAGCCATAGATTCCTTTCCAATTTTACCAGGGCCCCTGATACTATGTCACCTTTCTTTTTTCTTTTTTCTTTTTTTTTTTTTTACAATATGGCAAAAGGATTGAATCTCATGTATCTTTCTGAATCAAGTTTCTGTTGTCAAGACTTCACTGATGGAGAATGCATGGCATTTGGGGCTGGGACTGAATCTGCACTGGCTCTCTAGATCGGGATGACCAGAAGCTAAAATGCCATGTTTTGCTTGCGGCTGTTATCACCAGAGTTTCTGTTGGGTGCTGGTGTGTTGGAAGGGAGGTGCATGCTCCTTTCTCTCATGCTGCTATTAGATCCAGAAGGACCCGGGTGAGAAAGTAGCACCTCCTCTCCCCACTCACAACAAAAGGATGAAATAGTATGCGTTTTTAGTGATTTTAATTCCTTGAAAAGGAATTAATTAAATGCCTTAAACCTACCTGAACTTGCATGCTGACTTCTCTGTCTAGACCCAGAGAAATATAGGTGCAGAGGGAGGAGCTTGTGTGGCTATTTTCAAAGACCAGTCAAGAAAGTTGCAGGAGAAGATACAGACCCCTGTCTTACTGCTACTTACTTTTCCCCTATAGTGTGTTATCTCTCAGTTACTCCATGTTGGGTTTTGCTAGATTGCCATGGATTTCTTTCTTTGCTTCTGCTTGGCTTCTTGTATTTAGTTAATCTATCAGCTCTAGCTTGGTCTTACATGGCTTCTGGTTCACCCCTTTGGATCCCACCTTGGACCATGTCTCTCTCCATGAGGATTCTTTCCTTTGGGCTCTGTTAACTGCATCTAGCTGGGCTGTTGTCTCTATGTTCTCCACTGAGGGTCTTCCCCCTCCCCCACCAGGTGGTAGGGATTTGCCATGATCAGGAATAGGAATTTTGATCTGCCAACCTGAGTCTCTAGCTAAGTGAATTGGGGAGGTGTCCTCCTTTGGGATTATTCAGGATTTATTCATCAATTCCTCTTCCTCCACTCCCACAAAATGAGGAGATGGTGCCTATTTCTGATAATCTTTTGCTTCATTCTTTCGGAGGGAAAAGTCGAAGGATGCTGCCTAACCTGAAGCTCATCCTTCATCTTAAGGAGTCATAAGCATTTCAATTTCTATAGAATACTGTCCTTTTAACATCCTGCTAATACCATGAGGATATTTTTGAATATCAAGGGCAATGACCTGTGTGTGTTGTTCCCTTGGTTTCTCTCTTTATATAGAAACATTTGTCTGTCTTCACATAAACATAGGCCATGACTGCCAAGAATGTCTCTCTGTCTTTCCTCCATATCTCTCTGTTTCTGTCTCTGTCTCTCCAAACAGCAGACCACATCTTACAGCTAAATATGTGCTGTTCCCAAGGTCAGATCAAGGCCTTTGCATAGCATGAACAAGTTTGAAAAATCACCTTCCACTGTATTTGAAAATTACACTTGTGATATGAGCTGTTTGTCAGAGGTTTTGAGCCTTCCCTCTAAGAAACACTACTTGACTTATCACAAAGCAAATGTCTATGGACTATGAAGAACAGAAATTTCTGGCATGAACAGTACACTCATTTATAAAAATAGACAACAAACAAAAAAATAAAAATAGTCAAATTTCAGGTGTATCTTGAGACCCTCCAACACATACAATTGGAGGGTCTCAAGATAGACCTGAAATTTGATTTGTGACACAGGTTACGCTTTGAAACAATACAGCAGCCAATGCAAATGTCTGAATAGATACGTCTTCTATGGCTTTTTTAAGCTGCTGTTTTTATGCAATTTTATTAAAATAAATTTTAATGACGTCTTTGTTTTTATATCACCTACATTTCCCATTTTATTCTACCCCTCTTTTTTATACCTCTATATAGTACAGTAAAACTAACCAATGTATTGGAAAAATATCTGACAATTTTATGCAGTGTTCCATACCTATAGTCCCCCACCTCTGCAAAGAAGAGGGAGAGGATGCTTCCTCATATCTCTTCTTTGTGGCCAAGTGGGTTGCTGTAATTTCACAGCATTTGGTTTTGATTGTCTTCTTGTTCCTTCCATTTACATGGTAGTAGTCATTATTGTATTTTCTGTGACTTTTCGGTATATTTCATGGAAATTTGGTCTATGGGTTGAGGTTACTATCTGAACTCATGGAGGTTTCCAGTTCACAAGCCTGCTAGTTGTAATGTGAGGGCATTCTCCCTTTAGAACACTTAGAGGTAATTGCATCAGCTCAGCTGTAGTGAAGGACCTTCTGGTCCCCACTGGTGTGAGGAGAGATTGAGGCAGTCTTAACTAGAACCAGAGATAAGCCAGCTGGAGTTTCTGGAGCAGGAGAATGGCGTAACAGGATTCCATAATAAGACTGCTGCTGTGTTGGGAAGCTCCCCCCATGCTGGTTTTAAATTAATTGAATTTAGGTCTTTTCAAGAACAATGAAAAGGGATTTCATCAGCCCAAGTCCTGTTCTCACTGGAGGCCATGCTGTTGCCAGCTGCTGAATGTTTGGTGTGTTCTCTACTCTATCCACACTGTTTATGAGATTCTAAGTATGCAGCTTTCCTCACTTGCTCTTTTCTTATGTTGGTTCACTTTGATTTCCTTTCCTGTTGGAGTAGTACCCAAGGTTTGCATCTACTTGGGGCCACCATTGCATCCCCTTTTGGGGATGTCATATTGTGTCCTGGGGAGGCAGGGGAGATGTGAAGTCTACTGAGCTCAAGAGCCCCAATGGCACTGAATACTCCTTCTCTACATTCCCCATCCCCCACAGGCCTAAAGAACTAATATGAGATATTTGATTATGGCTTTACCACTAACCAGCAGTGTGACTGTGAGCGAGTCACTTAATATTTCTGGCTTTAGTTTCATTATTTATAAAATCGAAGTCATATTACCTACCCTCCTTCCCTCAGAGGCATGACAAGGATTAAATGGGATAGGGCTTTTAAAAGTTTAAGGGACTGTTTAAAGGTAAGGGATTATTTTTACCTCCCCTGATATCCATTGATGATAGTGGTAACACTCACTTCATTTTCTCTCCGAGCCCAGTTAAATAAGATCTTTGGGTCTGAGGAGAAAGGTGGTGGAGCAGGAAGGAGTTTTCAGCCTTTGACTTTCTTGCTGGGTCCTGGACCTGGAATGATGGTCTTTATTAACTTCTTTAACTAACTTTATTAACATCATAGGAGCGAATCTGCCTTTGAAAAAGCCAATGTGGATGTGTTCCGTGTCAGAACCAACAATGTTGGTGCCATCTACAAAATCAGGTGAGGCTCCTTTCCTGGACTCTACTGGCTCCCTATTGTTTCCAGAATAAAATGCAAATTCCTTCATTTGGCTTTTAAAATCCTTCACCACCTGGCCCCAAGCTATCTTTGCATTGTACTTGACGTCCTCTCCTTCCTAAGTGCAGTGTTAGTCCAGCTACATTGGCTTTCACTCTATTCCTTACACATCATAATCTAGCTTCTGTCTCTGTGTCTTTGCACTGGCTGTTCCTAGTGCTTGGAATGTGGTCTCTCCTCATCTCTTTAGAGAATTCCTCTTTTTCTTCAAGACTCAGTTCAAGCTCTACCTTCTGTATGAAGCTTTTGCCTGTGAAAGCTTCCCTGTGGAACTCCCCTTGAAGTCAGGGACTTTTTTCTTTAACTTTTCTTCCCTTTCCCCTATCACTAAGCATAGCAAGCCCTTAATAAACATTTGTTGATTGCTTGATTGAAAGGTTGACTTATTAAGTATAGGGGGAAATTGACCTCAGAGCTTCTGTCAAAATTGAGAGCTTAAAATCCCAAGTAGAACTGGAACTCTGGGTTCTCCTACTTCAACCTTTAGCAGGAGAACTTTCCATAGACTTTTCTCTGGGGTGTGAGTAGGCTGAATAAGAAGAGAAGTAAGTTCTATCCAGCCTGATGTCCAGAGAAGAACCCATAAAGATTCCCTATTGCCTATCAGGTTAAGTTCAAATGCCATTGTTAGATATTGCTGAGGGCCACGCACACAGACTAGGGCTTTGGAAGAAAGCTGAGTGTCTTGATCCACATGGTGACCACAGAATCATAAAGATTTGTAACTGGAAGGGACTCCAGGGATTGTCTACAGGAGTGGGGAACCTGTGGCCTTGAGGCCACATGCGGCCTTCTAGGTGCTTGGGTATGGCCTTTTGCCTTTGTCCAAGTTTTACAGAACAAATCCTTTTATTAAGGGAATTTGTTCTATGAAGTTTGGATTCTGTCAAAGGGCCGCACTTGAGGACCTAGAGGGCCACATGTGGCCTCAAGGCCACAGGCTCCCCACCACTGTAAAGAACAACTCCCTAATGTTATAGATAGGGAAACTGAGGGCCAGAGAGGTAAGGCTACTTGCCTAAAGGCACATAAAAGTAAGTAATGAAGCTGAGATTCAAACCTAGGTCTTCAGAATCCGCATAGAGTGCTGTTACCCCTCTACAAGCCTGAACCCTGAACAGAGCTGGCCTTAGTAGCTATGTTGTGTGATTTGAACGCAATCAGAAGCCAACCTGTCCAAAATACATCCCCATGGCCTGAAAATGTGAAGAGATTAATTTCCTTCACTTAAGGCATCCTCTTTTGTCAAATGTAAATCTCTCCAGGAAGGTCTGGAGGAGGTACTAATCTGGAGGGTGAATGCCACTGTAAGCCCTTATCAGTCATCCAGACCTGCCCAACTGAGGTGCTACCCTTTTCTGATATCCCTCAATTGATCTCAGCAGGTGGGCAGCTAGGTGGTATGGCAGCTAGAGTGCCAGGCCTGGAGTCAGGAAGACTCATATTCCTAAGTTCAAATCTGGCCACAGACACTAGCTGTGTGGCCTTGGGCAAATCACTTAACCCTGTTGGCCTCAGTTTCCTCATCTGTAAAATGAGCTGAAGAGGGAAATGACAAACCACTCCATTATTGTTAACCAAGAAAACCCCAAATGGGGTCATGAAGAGTCAGACACGACTGGACAATTGTTCTCTTTCCCTCCTTCCTCCAGTTGCCTTGTATTTACTTACTATCTACCTCCTCTATTTTCCCAGTCTTTTTTCATGCTTCTTGAGGTCAAAGATGGAATTATTTTTTTGTCTCTGTGTCCTCAGGCCTTAACACAATATCTTGCACATAATTAGCAGTTGTGGTATAGAGGAAAGAGCAGTGGATTTGAGGGCAGAGGACCGGACGTTACCACATACTACTTGTGTGACCTCTCTGAGCCTCAGTTTTCTTATTTGTTCATGAGTTGAGGACATCTAAGGTCCTTTTCAGCTTTGAATCTATGATCCTAATGTTAGTTGAGCCGAATTCAGTTGAATGCTTTCCAAAAGGAAGGGCTCCTCTGAGAGCAGTTTCCCAAAGATAAAGAGACAACAATGAATTCACTTTGTGGGGATGACAAGGATGGTGTTAAAATTCCATAGTGGAGGCACTTGCTAGGGAGGGTAGGTCTGGGCGGGTTACTGTGGAGAAGACCTTGAACAGCTAAGGCTTCAGGGTCCCTGAAAAGGGGTGGAGGGAAAAAGATAGAAATGCCATAATCAAGGAGAGGAGGTGCTTAATGGGAAGGTGCTTGGGAAGGAGACTCCCAAAGACAAACTTCCATGATTTTTCAGTTTTGCAAAGCGCTATACTAGCAAGGCCCCCAGAGACAAAGATGGAACAGGCCCTGTCCTCAAGGAGCTTACATGCCACTGGGAGAATGTGGTGGGTGCGCAGATAAGCAAATATACTTCTGGGAATTTGTGATGAGGGCCTTGCCCGTGACCTGTCTGAAACATTAAAACTTAGCCAATACTAGAAATGACTGGGTCTGCTCTCCCCATTTGGCTCTGACCCTAATTTGATTATTTGCTGCCACTCTAGAATCGAGCACGACAACACTGGGCTGAGTGCCAGCTGGTTTTTGGACCGGGTCATCTTGACTGACATGAAGCGACCCCACCTCAAGTACTATTTCAACTGTACTAGTTGGCTGAGCAAAGTGGAGGGGGACCGCCAGTTGTGCCGGGACCTGTTGGCCAGCTTCACCCCTATGGATGTCCCCAGGTGTAAGTGTTGCTCTGGGGGTGGGCATAGACAATGCCACTCTGGTCAGACCATCCTTCTTCATTGATCTTGATCAAGGTATCTTTGTTCTAATTTCCTCCTTCCCAACACTCTTCTTTACTTATAGGAATCCCACTTATCCTTCAAGGCCAAAACTGTCTTGCTCACCTTGTTCACTCATTAAATTTTTTCTCTTTAAAAGGTAGTGTTGCCTAGTAGGTGGGGCAGCTAGGTGGCACAATGGATAGAGTGCTGGACCTGGAGTCAGGAAGACACATTTTCTTGAGTTCAGATCTGACCTCAGACTAACTGTGTTACCCTGGTCAAATCACTTCACCCTTTTTGCTTCAGTTTCCTCACCTGTAGAATGAGCTGGAGAAGGAAATGGCAAATCACTCCAGTATCTTTGCCAAGAAAACCCCAAATGGGGTCACAAAGGGTCAGATACAACTGAAAAATGACTGAACAACAGCTGGCCTAGTAAGTAGAAAGCAGTTGACTTGGAATTAGGCAGACTTGAGCTAGAATCCCTCCTTAGATGTTTTCTAGCTGTGTGACCATGGGCAATCCACCTAACCTCTGAGCCTTAGCTTCTTCACCTGTCAAATGGGGATAACAACAATAATAATAATGTCTACCTAGTGCGATTGTCATGAGGATCAGATGAAATTGTACAAGCACTTTGAAGACCAAAGGAAATGATATAAGCATTCCAAAACCTTAAAGGGCTTTATAAATATGAGGTGTTATCATTTTCTCTAAACTCTTTGGAATAGCACTATGAGTAGGGGTTCTTCACTTTTTGTGTGTGTCATGGATATCTTTGGTAGTTAGATGAACCTATGGATTCCTTCCCTTCTCAGAATCATGTTTTTGAATGCATAAGATAAAATACATAGGATTACAAAGGAAACCAATTACATTGAAATACAGTTATCAAAACATATATGTATTTTTAAAGTTCATGGACCTCAGGTTAAGAAGTCCTGATTTGGAGTTCATATGGGCATCTCAAAGGTACAGACTGTCCTTCCTCTCCCTGCCCCACTCCCCACTTCACATCCTGAGCAGCCAGAATATAATATCATCATGTGCAACCACAATGAACAGTCGTGTGCTTTGTGATTGTTCTGCCGTGTTTACTCAATCTCTCTGAGCTTCAGGTTCCTCATCTGCAAAATGGGGCTAACATTTGAATGATGCACCCACAACATTGTCATGAAGAAAACGCATGGGCATTTTAAAGAGTTCTATACATGTGAGTTATTTCTACAGTTGTATCTGAATCATAAATCAATTTGGAGAAATGTACAGTGTATATAAAATCAAATTTATGAGATAGAAAAAGTCGAGCAAAGATTTCTTCACCATATGGAAGAGTTCTTGGAGTTAGAGGATTGGAATCCCATCTCTGCCACTTCCTATCTGTGTGACCTTGGGCAAGCCATGTGATAGCTTCTTTGAGCCTCTTCTCCTCATCAATAAATAAGGGAGTTTGGGGCAGTGAGGTGGCTCAGTGGATAGAGCTGCGGCCTTGGAGTCAGGAGGACCTGAGTTCAAATCCAGCCTTAGACACTTGACACTTACTAGCTGTGTGACCCTAGGCAAGTCGCTTAACCCTAATTGCCTCACCAAAAACCAATCAATCAATCAATCAATAGATAAGTGACTTGGATTGGAGGCCTCGATGGTGCCTTCCAGTTTCAGGTGATTCTGATCTGATTTTGGGGACTGTTTCATAATATCCTTCTCTTAGGTTAGTCATGCCTGTTGTCTGTGCTCCCCATGTAAGCTCCCTGAGGGCAGGGCCTCGATTTCTTCTGCAACCTGCAAAGCATTCTGTATGGTGTTAGTTCATAATTGATCAATAAAAAAGAATCATAGAATCAAAAAAAGCAAACAACTGTGAGAGTTAGAAGGGACCTGAGAGATCATTTAATTCAACTCCTTCCTAGATCATGAGTCCTTGATTAAAATCCTCCATGACAAACAAGCATTGAGCCCGTGCTTGAATATGTGCAGTAATGAGGTGCTCACGCTTCGTGGAAAGAAGCCCCGTCCTCTTTTAGCTGGTTCTGATTGTTAGGAGGCTCTTCTGCACACTGGGCTGAGGTGTGCTTGTCCGAGACATTCACCCGTTGCTCCTGGTTCTGTCCTCTTGGGACACCTACAACAGGCCTCTTTACTCTTCTATATGAGGACTCTTCAACACCTGGAAGTAGTGAGTGACTTTCATCACGTGTCTTCTCTTCTTCAGGAGGAACCTTCAGTTGTTCCTGGCACGAGATCTTTTCCAGATCTCATCAATCTTGGTTATGCCTTTTTTTTTTCTAGCTTGGCAATGGGGTTAAGTGATTTGCCTAGAGTCACATAGCTAGTAAGCGTCAAGTGTCTCAGGTTGGATTTGAACTCAGGTCCTCCTGATTCGAGCCAGTGCTCTATCCACTGCACCACCTAGGTGCCCCTCTTGGTTACATTCTTTCCAAAGTATTTTGATTTCCTAGTGTCCATCATAGAATATTTTGACTTTTATGACACCAATTGCTTTTTTATCCTTTCTATAAGATTGTCTTCCATTTTCATTTCACAGTTGGGGTATCTTGAAGGAGAGAGAAGCCAAGTGACATTTCCAAGGTCATACACCAAGGTGGAGGAAAAGATGGAGCTATAAACAGCATCTTCATAAGCCTGTCTTAGTAATCTGTCTGTAATAGCCCTGATACTTTCTTCCCATCTTTTTCATTCTCTAAATAATTTAATATTTCACTTTTTAACAGTGTGAGGCACAAGTAACATTGAAATAGTCATCTTTTATATTATAAGATTAAAAGTTCATTAGGGCTTGCATAATAAATCTACATTCTCAAAATTTCCATAACATTTTATATTCTAAGCAGCACCCTTGTCCACAAATTGAATTAATTATGTAACAACAGCAGGCATGAAGATGGTAAAATATTAGTAGAAGCCATTTGCAGAGGGTAATTGCTACAAATGTATATTATTATGATTATTATTATTAATAGCTAGCATTTATATAGTGCCTACTATGTGCTGGGCACTCTGCTAAGCACTTCACAAATATGATTTCATTTGATCCTCCTGACAGTTATGGGAGGTAAGTGTTACTATTATTTTTATTTCATTGTTGAGGAAATAGAGTTTAAGTGACTTGCCCAAGAATCACACAGCTAGTAAGTATCAGCAGCATAATAGCATAGCTTTGTTACCTCCTCCTAAACCCAGAGGGGCAAAAGGTTTCAGATGCCTCACTGTTGGTATGAAATTATTGTTGTTGTTTGTCCTTCATTCTCAAAGAGGGCCATGATATCAGGAAGGTGATGCCATGACTTGTAAATGTGAAAGTGAATTAAAAACCATTTATTCCTGGAAAAAAACACAACTAACTTTTGAGAGCCCATTACCTTCCATTTTTGAAAATTTTATGCAAGTGTATACAGCACATATTTTGTTCTTTTCTTAAAAGAGGAAGTGGTTCTCCCAAGGTTAATTCCTCTTATTTACTTTTTACGTTGGCCAATTGCCTACACATACAATATTATCACAAGCAGTGTCTATATAGTAGGCCATGGATCTAGTTGCCCCATTAGGGCCAATGTGAAGCAAAATTGTGAAGCTGGCAAATGTTGTCTTTGATGTGTCTTATCTCACCTCCCTTTCTGTGACCTTGTCCTGCCTTTCAGCACCTATCCCCCCTCTCCCAACTAAGGTCTCCAAGAGCCCTTGCTGCCTTGTCTGTTTTTGTCAGAATAAAAGCATCTGACAGCTTATATGAGAGTGTGAATAGGTTCAGGGTGATTCCGCTCCCAAAGGCACCTCCTTTTTAAAAGAGGTGTCCTGGAGAGAACAGTGCCCTAACCTAAAGGAATGAAGTTATTGGGAGAATGTAATAAACGTCTTGTTGAATGAATTTTGAATGTTACATACTAATGATAAAACTATAAAATGATGGAAAATAAACGAATGGGATAATAGAGCAGAAGGTTATAACTTGAACTATAAGGACAGAAGACTTCAAGATTGATTTAAAATTACTGAACTAATTATGGCTATATTTTCTTATTAATTTTGTTTTTTGTAATTATATTTACCTTTAAGTGTCAACATGGTAAGCATTCCAGTCAAGAAGGGGAAGAAGGTAGAGTCTTTAAACAAAAGACTGGTGAACTTGTCTTCCTTCTTGACAAGATTCTAGTACATTTTTATTTGAAAAATTTCTTGATATCTTTAGTTTTTATATTATATTCATTTCCAAGTGTTTCCCTCCCCATCCCTCTAGCAAGAGATCTATCTCATTTCAATGAACAACAAAAAAAAGAGAAACAAAGCAGTTCAATAAAATTAGCATATCAATGATAGTATACACAATGTTCCACACCCTCTCATGTCCCACTTTGGCAAAGAATGGAAGGAAGTACATTTTCTTATCACTTCTTCATCACCATCACCGTCATCATCATCATCATCATCATCATCATCATCATCATCATCATCATCATCATCCTAACTGCTAACATTTACACAGCACTTACTATGTGCCAGGGACTATGTGAAGCACTTTACAATTATCATCTCGCTTGATTCTCACAACAACCCTATGAGGTAGATGCTATTATTACCCTTATCTGATAATGAGAAAACTAAGGCAAACAGAGTTTTGTCCAGGGTCGCACAGCTAGTAAGTTTCTGAGTTCAGATTCCAACTCAGGCCCAGCACTGCATCTGCTTCTTTTCAGATGGAGTTCTCAGCACTTAGATCAGCAGAATGCTAATGACACTTGGATGTCAGTAAAGGCATTGGACAAAGTCTCTCACGGCAAGACAGTACTGGGTCTGACAAAGAAGGCCTTCGAGGTCTGAGATTTCTGCAGATGAAAGTATCTTAGCACCGACACAAGGAGGCCACAATACACAGGACCCTCTTTAGCTGCCTACGAACATGCTTGGGTTAACACATCCTTAAAAAGCCTGACACTTTCCC